TGTGTTATGGGATGTTGAAGTTCCAAGGACTATGTATGGAGGAGGGGTTCTTTCTTCCCCTTCCCATGTAAAATGAGTTGTGCATGAATCTCTGGATAGAGACAATGAGACAATGCTGTGCATTTACATAATGGAACCTCTTTTAAAAGTACTTTTTTTTGGGGGAGGAAGATCTCTCTCACTCTAGTTGTCTTTCTTCTTTCTTTCTGTCTTTTTCAGTGAAACTAGTGCTAAGTAGTGCTGGTTCCCAGAGCTCAGCTCATTGCATCAAGCAGCGATGGCACTTGCTTTCTAAAGACACTAACAATCCTTGGACTGGATTCGGTAGGGAACACGTGCCAGCTCTTTTTGAAAAAGCCTCCCCAGCAACAGCAGATTTTGCCCATCTTCCTTCCATTTGTTTTGTTTTTGTAAATAACAGTGATGACCCCAGAATTATGTGGATGTCCAGGCAGCACCTTACTGGCATTCTCAGCAGATGGGGTGCTGTCAGTCTGTGCTCTGGGTGCTGGTGAGGTGCGCTCCCCTCCACCTGTGACTGTGGGAAGAAGCAGGGATGTACCTGTAAACTGAAGAAAGAAAAGGAGACCCGATCCTGCATTTTGTAAGAATATCTTATTAAAAATAATTTTAAAAAGCAGTGTTTTTCTTCTGTTGCTGGTTCTGTGGTTTTTATTTTTGCTTTTGCCTGTTTTGACTGAAAACAAAACAAAACAAAAAAAAACCATGAAACAAACAATGTTGGAGAGAAGAACTGGGCTCCAAACTTTGGGCAGCTCTCAGCGTGGTTAGCACTTGGGAAGGGCTGGAAAATGAGGGGCTCTGCAAGGAGGAAAAATGTAGGAATCAAAACAACAAACAGAAAAACCCAGAGCACTGGCCTGATAGGACACTTGTGGAAAGGCTCAAAATGGAAATGCTGAGGAAATCTCATTTCTGAAATTCACTTCTGGAAACATCAGTGAGTAACAGACACCAAAAACGAGGGGGCAATGCATGTCTTGAAAGCACATCACAATCTGCACCTGTTTTGCTGCTTTCCAGAAAGTGTCAGGAACAGGGCAGGGAATAATGCACCATCCTCTTAAGCCTTCATTTTGTGCCACCCTAAAATATACCACTGTCATGGAAAAGAAAATCAAGTGAATAAACGTCCCAAGTTATATATATTTGAATAGGTAACGAGAACAATTTTACTGTTCGCCATAAATGAAAAAACCCACCAAATCATAGCTCTGATTGAGGTTCTGAAGCTCTGTTTATGGCTGCAAAGTGATTTGATACAAAAAAAGAATTACACATTTTGAGTTATTATATCACCCAGAAATTTGATGCCACTTAACTATGTAATTTTCAGAAATGATATAAAACCATTGCAGAAAAATATTCAGGGAAGCCCAAAAGACCTCTTTTTATCTTTTTTTTTATGGGTCTAAAATGAGAACTCGCAGAGATCCTTGCACTGTGTGTGAAGGCTGAACTGCCACCTCGGGAGCTTTATTAATATGTATGTAAATATGATCTGGTTGGATCCTGTGCTTCTGTGTCTTTTCACAAGGTGGAGCGGCTAACGAAGCTGATCACATCCGCACCCTGTGTTTATTCTCTCTCTCTCTTTTTTCTCAAGCAGCAACATTTAAAGATTCAGAGAAAATGAGGATAGCAGCCTCATTTATGTCAGATTGTCTTGACCCTCCTTCCTTCCTTCCTTCCCTCTCTCTTCTCCCCCCAACTCTCAGATCCGTATCAAAAACAATTTGCTTCCAACTTAGCATGGGTCGGGAAGAAACTCAAATCACATCACACAGAATCTGCAGCTCCAATTTCTCTTCCACTGAAAAGTTATTTGAGAAAATGGGGAGAAAGTGGAAATGCATTCGAAATGCGCCCAAGTGCCACAACCAGCTTATCCTTCATGAGGATATCGGGACTTCCTCTTCACGCTGCTATTTACATATCTATATCCGTGCCAAATTTTAGCTAAAGACGTTGCATGATTCCAAAAAAAAAAAAAAAAAAAAAAAAAAAAGGAAAGAAAAAGCAGGAAGCTGAGCATGTGTGTGCAGAGGGCTCTTGACTCAGCATGCCCCATGTGTGGGGTGGAATGGAGTTATTCCACATCACATCAGCCTGTTTTCCCCTATGACAAGGACGGTGCTCCTTGATGGGAACTCTTCAAACCCTTGGTGTATTGGGCAGACAGAGGAGATTGCCTCAATACAATCATCACCTTAATACAATTTTGTGCGTGCTGGTGTTTTTCCTTTTTAATTTAAAACAAGGCACAAACAGCAAATAGCACCCTGAGAGATAGTCCAAAGCTTGCTCTCTTCTTGCAGGTTATGCTCTCTTTGTCTTCTTTGCTTTTTTTTACCTTTTTTTTTTTTTTACTTTTTTTTTTTTTTTTTTTTAATAAAGAGCAGCGACTCCTGCTTTGGACAGGCAGCAGTGCTGGGGCACAGCGCACGGCCCTTTCCCGGCTGCGATTCGTGCCCGGCGCCCACGGCAGCACAGAGAGGAGCGATGCCCGGGGCAGCCCCTGGAGACCCGGCCCCTTTGCGGCGGAGGGGGTGGGGGGAAAGCACAGCGTCGGGGCAGCTGCAGCTGGAGGCGGGTCGGGGGACAGGTCAAGGTTAGAGAGGCTGCTATTGATCTGGCTTTGAACGCGAGACAGGGAGAGCAGAGAGACTAAAGGGGGAGCTGTGAGACAAGACATTAACAGCTTTCAGTGCTAATGATCACAAGTGCCAGACAGGGGAGGAAAGAGGAGACTGAGAAATCACTTTGGAATTTTTTTTTTTCTTTTTTTTTTTTTTCCTATTGGGATGTATTTTCGGAGAAGGAGGAGGAGGCGGCAGCTGGAGGCTCCCCCGCAGCCCTGCCCGCAGCCGGGGCGGGAGGGGCAGGCGGTCAATCATTGCCGGCCCTTATCTCCCGCTCCGAGCCCCGCTGCGAGCCGCTGGTTAATCAACAGATGCTGCCCGCTAACTTCCCGGCACCGCGCTCCCCAGGGGTGCAGCCGCCCGCAGCTCGCCCGGGAGCGGCCACGCTCGCTGCGGGCCGCACTTTGCACGCTCGAGGGCTGAAAGTGCCTGCTCAGAACCGCGGGGCCCGGTCCCGTGGGTACCCACACCGCGCCTGTCCATGCGTGGGGCTGCGAGGCCGCCGCTCTCACCGCTCTCGTTTGGCTTCGTGAGACCCAAAGCCGAGCGAAAACGGCGGAGAGCTCAACAGCTGAAGTGCTGTTGGGGTACCGGCCACGTGCTGACATGACAGCAGCGGGGGGCCGAGAGGTTGGAAGAGCCCGTGGCCGGGGCTGGGGGGGCCGGGGGCGGTGGGAGCGGTGTGCGGGCAGATTTGCTGGAGGAGGACGGAGCTTCGTCGGTTAGCCAAATTCTACTCAAAGCTGATTAAGGGCATCTAGCTGCGTTCTGCTCCAGTAGGGCTCTCCAGCGATTTCACACCAAAACATTCACTTAACACAGAAACTGAACGACGCGCTGCAGAGCGCTCTCCGGGTGCGGGCTGGGCTCCTCGGGTCTCTGCCGCATCCGCCTTCAGCCCCCGGCCCTCCCCGCTCCCGTCGCCCTGTCCAGAGCCGGTGCTGAAAGCTCTTTGCACGGACGTTTGTTTGGTCGGGAGAGAGAAATAGCAACAATCGGATGAGCAGGTAGAGTGGAATAGAGGGGAAAAAGTTGGTTCCCAGAATCTCCCAAGTGTGAACGCACGCAGCTGCGGGCATTTACCTGCGTGGGAAATGGGGAAAGTGCCCGAGGTGCGCTCCCCGGGAGCCCAGTTTCTCCCGATTCGTGGCGGAGAGTGAATTCCTTCCAGAGAAACCCTTGCCGCCGGGATGTAAGGAAAAGGGGTGGGAAAGGAGGGTCGGAGCGTGTGTGCGTGTGCGGCTCGGGAGTGTGTGCGCGCGTGTCCCGCTGCCATCACGCTTCGCTTTAGGGAAAGAGGAGAAAAAAAAAAAAAAAAAAAAAAAGGCAAAAAAAAAAAAAACCAAAAAAAAAACCAACTCTCCCCAACCCACACAGATAGTGGTGGTGTTGTAAAACTGTCGGGAAGAAACGCAGGGGAACGAGGAGCTGCCGCGGCGTCCGCGGAGACGAGCGGCCCGAGCTCCTCCGCGGGGAGCGCACGGCGGCGCCGGGGGCGATGGGTACCGGAGCGGCCCCACCGCAGCCCCCGCCCGCGTCTCCTCCGGCCCCGAGCGGCCCCCGGCACAGCCGCCCCCGCCGCGACGCGGGGAAGTTTGGCCCCGCGTGAGGATGCGGCTTTGTGTGTTCCCCCCCCTTAAATGCTCTTTGCTTTGCTCCCAGATCTCCGCATACCCGAGAAAGCAGCAGCGCACAAAGCCCGGAGCTGCTCCCGATCCGTGCATGTGCTTTAGTTTGTGTGTGTGTGTGTGTGTGTGTGTGTGAGTGCGGTGTGTGCGAGTGGCGTTTCTTGTTCTCTTGCAGGGTACAATGTTAAAAAGCCACCGCTAGTCGCCCCCAGTGCTCCTACTCTCTGGGTCTTTTTGTCTCTAGTGCAGATTAAACGTCACGTCCGCACTTGAACTTGAATTTTATCCCATTGTACAGAGGCAGCCCCAGCCATAGAGAGACAGAGCGCTCCCAGAGAACCAGGACTCCGCCATCTTCACATTGCAATATATAATAGTAATAGCCAGCACCAGCCCAGCTGCACTGGGGGCTTCCTTCCTTCCAGTCCCAGCGCCAGGCGAGGGGGGAAGAGTGCAAAGTGGTGCAGGAGCACGGGCAATCCTAAAGCACCAGGGCAGAGCAGTGCCACTTGAACTGGGAAAGAGGAGACACAGTTTTGGCTGCCCCTTTTCAAACAAATTCTCTCTAGATATCTACCCAGCAAGGGTCAATCTCTGAGAAACATTTTTTTTTTTTTCTTTTTTGGGCAATTTTTGGCTGTTTGGGCAAAACCCAATTTCAATACTTTTTTAAAAATTCTTTTTTATTCCTGATTTTTTTTTTTTTTTTGCTTTTTAATTTTTTTTTTTTTATTTTTTTTTTTTAACCCTCCTGGTGGAAAAGCGCACTTGCCAATTTGCCAAGCACTCTGGAAAGAGAAAAGTGTACTGGCGGTGCACATCCTCCCAAGTTCAAGAAGAGGTTTGGAAGTCCGAGTAGGAGAAGCAGTGGAGAAAAGACAGAGTGTGAAAGAGAAAAAAAAAGAGCGAGAGAGCTTTTCCCGATGATGATGATGATTTTTAATTGAAAGGAGATCCCATCCAGTGCACCACAACAGCAGCAAAAGGTGTTTATTTTTTTTTTCCCTTTTATTTTTATTTTTTATTTTTGAAAGAAGAAGAACTCGATCAAGAAGAAGAAGAAGAAAAGACGCAAAAAAGCAGAGGAGGAGGACCGGCCCCCAACGCAGCCCCCAGACCAGTGCAGCTCTCCAGGCGATGCCAGTGTAAATGCCAGGGCAATGTCCCGTCGCAAGCAGGGAAACCCGCAGCACTTGTCACAAAGAGAGATTATCACACGTAAGTTTCGACTTGGAACCGGATCGAGCCGAAATCGAGGAGCGAAATTAGGGAAGGGGAGGAAGCGGTTTGGGGGGGGGGGGGGGGGGGGGGGGGGGGGGGAGAAGCCCGAAGTTTGCCGTGCGTTTGCAGCGGTGCGGAGGTGAGGCGGGCGGGCTGCAGCGCGGAGCGGTGCGGGGAAGGCGCTGCCGGCGGAGAGAGCGCGGGGAGCGGCGGCGGCGGCGGCGACGGGGGCGCGGGGCCGGGCCGGGTCGGGTCGGGTTGAGCCGGGACGGGATGAGCCGGGCCGCCCCCCGGGGGTTCCGCAGCTCGCCTCCTAGCCCCGCTCCTCTCCGCCCGCTCCGGGGAAAAGTTGGCCGAGCGCCTTGCATCGGCGTGACGGCCGGCCCGGGGGGAGAACCAAGGTGGGCAGCAGGGATGGAGCTGGGGAAGAGGAACGGCCGGGGGAAATTGATCTGGGAGGCGGCGGGCCGGCCGGGGAAACGGCGCGGGGCAGGTAGATAGGCAGGCGGCAGAGCTGCCCGCCCCAGGTGCACCGCCAGCGGAGAGAACTCTGCTCCGAACGCGGGGGGAGGAATGTTGGGCTCGGCCGGGGCTGCGAAGGGGCCGGCGGGAGACGGGCTGCCCCGAGGTGCTGGGGGGCTGCAGGGCACGGAATGCGGCCGAGCAGCGGTTCAGGGCCGGAGCAGGAGCGGAGGGTGCACTTTCCCGAAGCTCCCATTGTGAAATGAAAACACACACCGCCCCCCTCCCCCCCCCTCCCCCCTCAAATAATAATAATAATAAAAAAGCTAAAAAGCGAGGAGAGGGAAGGAGCTCACCTCCCTTCCCCCCCCCCCCCCCCCCCCCCCCCCCTCCCCCTCGCCAGCATCCCCCCTCCTCTCCGTTCCCAGCCTCGCAGCACAGCGAGAGGGGTGAGCGAGCGTCCGTAGGCAGCGCCGGGCCACGTCTCCGCCGGCCGCCCCGAACCCCACTGGGTTTGTGACACGGGTGGAGGGGTCGGCGGGGTCCCCAGTGCTCTCCGCTGCACCGGACACGGGGATACAAAGCGTGCGGGAGTGGGGGCGGGGGGGTGGCTTCTACGTTTCTCTCCGAAAGCATCGGACCCGCTTAAGGGGGGGCCGAGGGGGGGATCAGAAAAAGCCGCGCACGCCGTGGGGAGGTTGAAGGGAGGGGGGTAGCCGGATTGAGTCTCCGCACCCTGCCGGGAAGGCCGGACCCCCCCTTACCCCCACCCCCTCCCCGAGGTGTCCGCAAGTTGCAGTGCTTCGGGGGGCGGCGGCGCGCACGGAGGCAGCCCGGGGCTGAGCCTGAGCCACGGCGGATCCGAATATTTATGTTCAGATTTTAAAGAATTTAAATAAATAAAATATTCCCCCGGCTTCTCTCCCCTCCCCTGAAAGCCAAGAATAGGAGCCATCTGCCAGGAGCATTTGGTGCTTGCGAGCTCCTCTCTTTCTTTGTTACCGGTGATAAATTTCTGTTTGTAAGATTTCCCCGTGAAACGATAGATAGATGTGTATATGATTTTTCCAGCTCCCGTGAGATCTTTTTTCTTTTCGTAGGGAATGTTTTGGAAGGGATGTTTGGGGTCCCGAAATTTCAATTTCTTTCGCTCCTTCAGTGTTTTCCTTTTTTTTTTTTAACCTATTCCTCCCCCACCTCCCCCCCCAGCCCATCAGCTGGTGGAACACAAATGAAGATGCGTCTGGGTATCAGCTCTGTTTCGGGGGGGTAAAATGGGGTGGGGGGTTGTTTTTAATTCATTGTTATTTTGGAGCCAGATTTGCATCACCGTAAAAGGTGGATTCCCCCCCACTCCTTCATTAATCACATTTTTGTTATTAACCATCCGGTTTGGAAAATGCATTTCCCCTTTCCTTATCCCCACCCCCTTCACCACCTTTATTTTTATTTTAAATTTGAGAAAAAGCATCATCAACCTAAACACCACAGATCGCCCCGTGCCATTTCTTCCACTTTCCCATCTCAGCTGTGAGGAGATGTGGGGTGTAGGGGAGGAGGGGGAGTGCGGAAAATTGGGTTTGTTGCGCACGTCTGAATTTGTTTAAAGGGGTGAAATATTTCTTTTCTCACTGCTGTTGCTGCTTGGGGTGGTGGGATGGGGGTGCTGGTGTTGGAGAAGAGAGCCAGGTAGGTTTGTTCTTCCAATTTGATCTCATTTTCTGATCGCTTTACTTGAAAGTAAATAATGAGGCAGGAGAGCATTGAGAGGTGCCGAGGAGCTGCGTGTACAATGGGTTTAGCGGGGAGGATGGGGAGGAATGGAGAGCAGAGCAGTACACAGCTTCCCTCCCTCCCTTCTGTGTTTATCTCCCTTTCCATCCTAAGGAAACTGGCGGAGAAATCATGCTGCATACTGAGCAGTGGCAGAAAAAAAGGAAGGTATCCAGGGGAGGAGGGGATGGGAGCCAGGGGGGCTGCGCTGGGTTGGTGCTGGGGGGAGCAGAGGCAATGCAGAGCACTGAGCCCCAGCTGCGGGCTGCAGGAGGGGGATCGCACTTTGCTCTGGTGGAGGTGCAGTTTGCAGCCAGGAGACCGAGCTCTGAGAAGGGTATTGGGAAAGTAGTGGGCAGCAGGAAAGCGAAACACTTGCAGAAGAGCAAACTCAACCCCAAGCCAAGCCCCTAAAGCCAGGATGGATTGAGAACTGCTTTCTGAAATCTCGCATTTATGTCATGTTTAGCTTGGGCTTCTGTTTCCCTCCCCCCCCCTCCCCGCTCTCTGGTTTTGGCATCTGTCAGGAGAGTTGCATTTCAGGATGGATTGGAGGTCTGTGCCAGGCAGGGAAAGGGAGATGGGGAGAGAAATGAGAGAAAAGAGGAGAAGGGTTTTCTGACACCGCTTAGCTGGAGTTGATTGAGTTTCATGCTCTCGGTGTTCAGAGAAATGTTTAGACCCTGAGTGTAAGGCAAACAAACAAACATAGAGGCTGCAGCGGAGCTGTGCCCCAGAGTTGCAATGTCTCATTAGCACCTTGGTCCTCAACACTGCAAAGCAAAGCGGCCTGTTCATCCTGGCCAGGCTCATCCAGGCAGCCCCACAGTGCATGCATGTGCTACACAAAAAGGGGAAACACATGGAGAGCACAGACCAGTTTCAGAACACGGTGATGGTGAACGGAGCAAACTTGGTGGCTGAGCTCACTTAGATGGGTGGACAAAACAAGAGAGGCAATGAGGTAGAGAAGAGGAGAGGAAACGGAGCTGTAGAGCTGCTCTGTGCAAAGAAACGTTAGTTTGGTTTGATTCTAACTGCTGATTTTCCAGCTTCGGATCTGATTTTTTTTTTCTTTCTTTTTTTTTTTTTTTTTTCTTTTCCTTTTGAACTTGAGAAATCTGCCTTCAAACCAGCTCTGCATTTAGGTTTGAAGGAAATGCAAAAGGCGAGAGCATGTGCAGAGCTTGCTGAGTGTGGGTTTGCAGGAGGCAGCAAAGCGAGAACCTTTCTGCGGAGCAGCAGCAAAGGTTGGGAGGGAGAGGCACTGTGAGATTGCATGGCTGCAGGTGCAGGGCCAGTTCTCAAGAAGGTTCTTCGCTGCCTGGTCAACAGGTTCCCTAGGAAAAGTAATAATTTCCTGTAATGTTTTACATTAAAAATAATAATAAAAAGCACTCCGATTGTTTTGCATGTCAAAGTTTTGCAAATTGCTTCGAGTAGCTTCTCTTAAAATGTGCTTAGATTCAGTGTCATGAGTGCACTTTATCTCATGGAAAGAAACACAGCAGTGCAACCAACTCTCATGCAAAGAGAATGCAAGCTGCGACTGAAGGGTTAGAGAAGAAATTGTTTTGGTGATGGCTGCCTTGGTCGTGATACCCGCACAGTGTGCACAGAACGTGTCTTAGAAAGATGTTACATGTGTCGTCTCTAAATAGGGCAGGAAAGAAAGGGGCTGTGTGCTGTTGATTTCCAGGTTGCTTTTCATTTAGATCTATTTGTATTTGACGTGAGATTAGAAAAAATAGCGGCGTATGTTCATAGCTCCTGAGCTTTTAAAATATTTTGATAAAAGTGCTGTGCAGTGACTAGATGGTGAATCTGGGCTGCTTCGTCCTTTTGGTTGATGTGCTCAGTGGCTGAGATGGATGTTCAGCGGGCGAGAAATCATTTTGCATTTGTTTGCCGCTCGGCAGATGAAGAGCATATTTAGTCAGGCTGCTTTAAATATTGAGAACCAAAAGTCTTAAAGGTTTTACAACCCAGTTGCATCTAATGGGAGCGGCCGGAGCCCCAGTCTTGTGCAAAACGTCTGTTTCTTTGCAGAACAAAGGGTTGTCTGGTGGCAGATTTGACAATAATTATGACTTAGAGGAGTGCGCGCTGGTAGAAGAAGTCATACAAATTATCGCCATCAGTTCCCGACTCCAGTTGCCACCTCCTCGGCTAGCGAACCTTTCTCGCCTACAAAAACCCTTCGCACACAACGTTGCTTCCTCTTCCCCATTTCCTACCTCCATCGCTTCGCGCTCCGCGCTGTTTGTTGATAGAAAACACTTTCCAAAATAAACTTTGCTGGCTGGCAGCCGTGCCGCCGGGCTGCCCCGCGCCAGTGGCGGCTGCTGACGACTAGGGGGAGCTCGGAGCCCGCCGATGTGCGCTGGGCGCCGGGATGCGCCGCGCCGGGAGCGGCGGCCGCCGCGCGGTGTTTGCAGCCTCAACTTGGAGGATCGATTTTCACGCGCAGATCTTCCCGGCGCTCGGTGAGAGGGGCTGCGAGGCAGGCGCAGCTATTTTTAGTTAAATCGCGGCTAATCGACTCGGGAGGACGGGAGTTTTTCTTTTGTTTTGTTTTGTTTTTTAAATTAAAATTAGTTTTCAACAATGCTTTTTTTTTTTTTTTTTTTTTTTTTTTTTTTTTTTTTTTTTTTTTTTTTTTTTTTTTTCTTCTTCTTCTTGTCGATGCGCGGTGTTTTAATTCTCAATTTGTTGCTGTCGAATAGAGATCAGGGTAATGCTACCTGTACACTAGTGAGGCT